CAGCTGGTCAGAGAGTATTTACAGAATCTGTTTGCCATCTCGGACAGAGGCGGAAAACGTTGAGATGGGAGACTTTCGGCGGTACCAGGCGTCTATGCTAGGAGCATCATTCGGACCAGTTATTGCTGCATCTGCGTATGCCAGAGCTGGAGCCAAGATGGCTGATCGAGGCAGGGCAGACTCGCGAGGCCAGTGATAGCGTTGGTGAGCATCGAGGAGACCGACGAGGCCGACGAGACTGGCGAGACCGGCGACTGTCTGTGCAGATCCTGGCGCCGGCAGGAGAGAGTGGCCGACGCAGTCTGCGACTCGACGGTCGACACGCCGGGCAGCATAGAGACGCATGGTAGCAGACAGCCCGTCGGCCATGGCCACTGGGACAGCCACCATCGGGTCCAGAAGGAGTCTGACACTCTGGACGACCAATTCTGGGCAGACGATTCGAGTAACGAGGTCTCCTCCTGCCTCGACGCCGTCGGCTGCTGGCCGCTGAGATTGAGCGCCGAGTCGGGCTCAGTCTCGATCGCAGTTTCCATCGGCGACTTGGAGACCTCTGGAGGCTGGTGGAACTGGTCCAGACTCACGTCAAGCCAGTGCGCCGGCCAAAGATGACCAGACCGAGGAACCTCCCTCATTTGTCTCGACGTCGAGACCTCTTCGTCCATGATGGTCGCCACGGAATGAAGGCTTTCGCTTTGCAAAAGGCCATTTTGTCGAGACTCCGGGCTACCTTTATCGCTTTCAACGAGCTCTGTGGCCGTCTGGACCCGTTTGGAATAATGATCCACAATGGCACTGGCAAGCGCAAGCACAAGACCATCGTCCAGCTTCACGCCGTTCAGCGCCGACAGTGAACAGCCCGTCTGGGCGGCGGTCGTCTGAAGGCTGAGATCGGGCTTTTCAGTCTCGAGGCGCGACATAAAGCAGGCCAGTTGGTCCGGGGCTGAAGTTTGCTGGCGCGGGTCGAGCTCGTGAGGGTGATGAGAGGACTTTCGACGGAACGAAGTGGTTTCAACACTCTTCTCCGAAGGCGCCACTCTTGCCCGACGTGGAGACGGAGTTCTAGGAGTGGGCAAAGGAGGCGTGAAGGCAGCGGTTTGACGCCTGGACAGACAGACGGGGCTGACGTTCGGCCTCGGAGGAGAGAATAGAAAGGGAAAACTCTCGGAGTCTGGCGTGTTGTCGAGACAAGGGCTGCGCTGCTGATGAGGCCGTTGCAAAGAAGACGTGAGGCCGGCGGTCAAAGTTGTGCCACTCTCCGAACCGACATGACCCTCAGAGTCGGAATCGGTCCCACCAGCATCGGCTCGTAAAGAGCCCTCGAGGCCGATTCTCAGGCGCTTGCAACTTTGGCCCGGCCTATCTCGCGAGAGGAGACTCGAATTGAGCTTGGGTCTGTAAAAGGGATTGTCGACCGGAAGTGAGGCTGGTCCGCTTCTGGGACCGGTTGGGATGAGGGAAAGGGAGAGACGGGTCAAGGCCTGCAGCGAGTTTGAGGTGGGAGGGCAGGAAAACTGGCCGGAAGAGGATGAAGAAGACGACGACGAAGAAGAAGAAGAAGAAGAAGAAGAAGAGAATGAGGACGAGGACAGGTCACCTGAAGACAGAGAAATTGATTCCTCCTCTGAGGGTTCGACCTCTTGGCTCCCAGTGTTGACGGATACAGCCAGCGAATTCCGGCCCAGGGGCGTCAGAGCCGAGACGAGGTCAATCGCTTCGGATCTTCGTTTATGACTTAAGCTCTGAAAGGTTTGATCCGAATTGACCGAGTGCCGCGAAGCAGAGCTCTTGTCGCGACTACGTCTGGCGCCAGAAGTCAGGTGAATGAGGCCAATCTTGTCGGTCTGTCGGGTTGGGCTCTTCTGTAGACGAAGGATACGTTTGGGCCCAGTTTCGCCGGCGGCATCAGCTGCCTTGATCTGCTGCTTTGTCCTTACTGAGCCGGACTTCACGGCAGGTCTGGCACGAGGACTTTCGAGTCCCGAGCCCGAGGCCGAGTTGGCGGGTCTCGCCTCGACGGGTTCACAACTCGTGCTGAGACCACTGGCGCCGGTCGGTCGCGATTCGCCGTCCCGACAGCCGGAACTCGGCCGGCAGCAACGCAACCAAGGCACTTTTGGTTGTGAAGCTGGACTTCGGCCAGAAGTGCTGGCGTCGGGAGGAATGTGGGTGGCGGCGGTGGCGGCGAAACAGCTGATGTTGACGGGATGCTGAAGCAGCTCTTGACTGATGCTCTCACAAGTGCGTGCCAACAATGCGAGTGGAGAAGGGCGTTTCGGCCCCGTGAACTGAATATAGGAGGCCAAAAAAGGATTAAAAGTGTCGAATTACATTTGCATTAAAGGTGAAGTCGAGAAATCCCTCCAATCAGATGAGCAAATGTGAACCACCATCAACATTTGTGGAGGTCAAACCTTGGCATTAAAATTTTCACAAGAATTGTATTCACTTTCGATGCGAGTAGTCTTTGATAGTAGTAGTAGTTATTCAATAAGAACTTAGTCGCTCCCTGCCTCTTTAGATTATTTAAGAAGCGTTGGTAAATTTTTTCTCAAAATCAGATAAGTAGGCCTCACGATGCCATTGAATTTTACCGTTACTTACGATGGCGCATCTCGCTGAAGATGTCGACTACGATGACGGCGAAACGTTTGGGAATGTACTCAACCAATGGTCCAATGCTGGAAGTCACTAATAATATGGCAGAAGACTTGTGACCAGGTCTCCTTGACGCTTCGACCAAGTTGCGAAAACAACGTCGAACCAACACTCTAAAGTTAAAGTAGACTGAGACTTCACCAAACGCCCGTTTGGGTTGGTATTCATATCTTCGATTTACACAGAATTTTTCTTCAATAATTACTGATAGTATCGAAAATTATTCGTACCGAAATTGAGTAACATCCCGAAGCCCATTCATTTCATTGTAGTTATTAGTCATGAAGTTTATTCCCCTTGGTTGCACAAGATGATGAAGGACTGATAAAATGATTGTTTCCACAATGTTTTCAAGGAATTTATTGATAATTCACATTGAATTGGCTTTTCATTTAAAGAAAAAATCGGCTTTTAATTTCGAAGCAAAAGTCGGCTAGACTAAACTTGTGAACTGGCTTCACCGAGAAACCGAAGAAAGATAAGCTCTGGAGTGAAGACAGTTAAATTGTACGAAAAAGTCCAGAGCTCATCCCTTTTATTTTCAATCCTCCATCGTAATATATACGAAGAAAAGTTGGGTTTCAAGGACTCTCTTGTTTCATAATTGTTGAGCTTACTTCCATTTCGAGTGGAAGTGTTGTGTGAAGGGATTGAAAAGTCGGTTTCACCAAAAGACGACGGCGGATTTCTCTTGACCAGCTGTCGATTGGCTTTACTGGAAGATTCATGCTGACTTTGTTTCCAAGGCAATCTCCCTCGATTCCGGTGAAAACGTGCTAAGTTTTCGTCCGTCGTATGACGGACAGCATCAGAGAAAATGTTCTTGACTCGTTAGTTTGAATTTTGTTGTA